GCAGAGTATCTCCAGGGCACTTCTGTCCTTGGCAGGCTTCACTGGGATGCCAAGCAGTGACAAGGCTCAGGCAGGGGAAAGAGGAAGGATGAAAGGGTTGAGCCTGCACAACTTTGGTACATACTGTCTCTGGCACCCCAAACTGTTGCTTCTTTCTCTTCTCCTGGCAGATAAAAGAGCTCTTCATCAGTTTTGAGGACACTCCCTTGGGAGCAGCATCACTAGCCCAGGTGCACAAGGCAGTGCTGCAGGATGGGACAACAGTGGCAGTGAAAATCCAGCACCCAAAGGTCCAAGCTCAGAGCTCCAAGGATATTTTGCTCATGGAGGTAAAACTACCTGTTGTCTTGGAGAGAGCAATTGCTATTGAAATGTGTGGGAGCCACATTCACTCATGGTGTGAGCAGGTATAATATCACCATCCTTTAGCTTTGAAACCTCCACAGAGATAAATGTTGTCTTACAGGAATAACACAGAAAATTGGTGCAGTGAGGGTGATTGTGTGGATGGAGGGTAAGAGTGAAGGAGGGCAGAAGGAGGAGACGGGTAAACATTAATGACATTAATGTAAGTCCATATGTGATTTAAGAACTAGAGAGTCCTGAAGTCTCTCTTCAGCTTGTGTGCCCATTAACTGGTTGATAAAACTGGTCCCAGTTACCCTTGCAGTCAGAGCTGTGTGGCCAAGAAAAAATCTTTCTCAATGATTAGAATTTTTTTTCAGTTAAATTTCAGTGTGGATTCAACAGTGCTTGAGACTGCTGTGACTTGGTTTTGTTTCTTGATCAGCTCCTTAATGCTGAGCTGATTGATGCTGGAAACAAAACCACTGAAGTACGGAGAGGGTCACCTAACATGATCAGACACACAAATGAGGGATTCAGCTTGGAAAAATGTTTCAGTGCCTGTCTCCTGTTCCTCTCCTGAGCAGTGAATACCACTCGTTCCCAGTGTGCAATGCTGTAGCTTCTCCCAAACTTCTAAGTCTAGCCCATTGAAGGGAGGAACTGGAGCAAAGCTGTGGCACTGCACTGCATTGCAATAGTAACAGATGCCAGCAGTATGGTAGGTAATGGCAAATGGAGTTGGGGCTGAGGTGGAGGGGATAGGCTGGATTAGGTCTGTAAATGGTAACACTAAAGCTTTCAGCTTTCCTAATAAGCATATATCTGTATGTATAGTACAGTAATCTGCATATCCTTTGGCAGACAGGTATTTCCAAGGGACTAAAGAGGAGAAGGTTAAGCTGAGGCAGTCTGATAAGTGTTTAGAGGGTACTGTTGATGCAATGACATACAATTCTCCATCACAGGAGATCAGGAATCAAGGATCCTGACAGCATCATCTCAGAGGAGCACATAACAGAGGGTGAAAGGAAGGACAGGTAGTTTGGGAGGAATACAGAGAAACTGTCTGTGTAGCCATGGATCAGGTTAGGAAGGCCAAAGCCCTAATAGAATTAAATCTGGTCCTGGACGTCAAGGGCCAAAAAAAAAAAAAGCTTTTGCAGGTATGTTTGTGATAAAAGGAAGACTAGGGAAAATGTGGGGCCTCTCTGGAAGGGAAAGGGAGACCTGGCTACCCAGAATAAGGAGGCGGCTGAGGTACCCCATGACTCTTTTGTCTCAGTCTTTGCCAATAAGGGCTCCAGCCACACCTCCCAAGACACAGAAGGGAAAGGTGGGGACTGGGAGAATGAAGAACTGCCCACTGTAGGAGAAGATCAGGTTTGAGAACATATAAGGAACCTGAAGGTGCACAAGTCCATGGCATCTGACAAGATGCATCCACAGGTCCTGAGGGAACTGGCAGAGCAAGTGGCTAAGACACTGTCCATCATATTTGAGAAGTCGAGACAGTCTGATGAAGTTCCTGCTGACTGGAAAACGGGAAACATAATCCCCATTTTTAAAAAGGGAAATAAAGAAGACCTAGGGAACTACAGGCTGGTCAGTCTCACCTCTGTGCCTGGCAAGATCATGGAGTGGATCCTCCTGGAAACTTACGTTAGGGTGCATGGAAAAATCAGGAGGTGATTGGTGACAGCCAATATGGCTTCACTAAGGGCAAATCATGTCTGACAGATTTGGTGGCCTTCTGTGATTGGGGTTACAGTATTGGTGGATAAGGGAAGAGCAACTGACATCATCTACATGGACTTGAGCAAAGCTTTTGACACTCTTCCACTTGACATCCTTGTCTCTACGTTGGAGAGATATAGATTTGACAGAGGGGCCACTTGGTGGGGTCCCTGCCCATGCATGGCAGGGGAGTTGCAACTAGATGATCCAACTCAAACCACTCTATGATCCTATGATTCTATGATAACTAAAGATTCATTAGGCAGATAAAATACCCTGCTTTGACCAATTCTGGCTAGTCTCCAAAGAAGCACAGTTACTTCCAGCTGCAGCACATCAGTTTTCATCTGATACTTATTTTGAACTCATAGTGAAAAAAATTTTGGAGTTCAATAAAGATATCCCAGTAAGATGGGATATGTCTGTTTCAGTGCTGGTTTGAGAAGACAACTGTTGGAATTGGCTCTGGGTCCAGCTGTAGATTTGTATTTGATTCAGGCTCACTCCAGGACTGCATGTAGTCTGCCTGATGAGTTTGCTTTTGTGAGTCATCACATGAATAGCAGTTCTCAGGGGGCTTATGGCATCCTTCACTCCTGCCCAGGGCAGGATGGGAGAAACTAAGCAGTCAAGGAAGAAGGGTGAGCAGGTAATGAAAGACTGTGAGACCAGGGCAGTAAGAGAACTGTGTATGAATGAGCCAAGACCTAGATCCATCGTGGGATATTTGCCCTTTTACCAGTGCATATTACAGAAGAAATCCCCCCTCACAATATGTTGCTGTGATTGCTGATTTACTGGAAAGAGACATTTAAACAATTTTAGAATGATTCCTGTCTTCTGGTTTTAGACTAATCCTCCTGGGAAACTTGAAACTAAAACAGTTTGTTTCCTCTTGGCAATTTAGTATTGTCCTTCCTCTAGAGAGAGTCTAGTTTGTAATCCTTGAGATCTGTTGTGTACACTCAGCTATGGGGAAGTAGCTCACAATGACACATGCAGTCTTGATTTTAAAGGGTCTCTTTTGGAGTGTTGGCTTACATGCATCATCATATCCTTGTCTGGGACTATTTTTGTGTAGGCTGCACTGAAAGCTAGATTATGTGCACTGAAGTACTGGTCCTTTAAGAATCAGACAGGTGTTGCAGCTAAGTAGGAGGTTAGTTTAAATATTGATGGAGATGGTCTTATTTAGAGTCTGATGGGAAGGAATCTGAATGGGAAAAGCTAGGTGGAAAATTCCTAAATTCACTTGAGGTTTTGTAGCATCAGTGTTGACTCCTTAAAAATCAGTACAGCATCTGATAAATCTAGAGAGAAATACCTATCAATACTTATTTCAAGACTATGTTAGACAGATGTCAGAAAATGGACAAGCCAAATACTTAAGTATGTCCCTGCTGATGGTGAAGTTGGCAAATTGATTCAGAAGAGCATTTAAAGAAAGCAAAAAACAATGCGTGAATTTTCTCATATCAGGCACCAATGAAATAATGCTGCAGACCCTATAAAGTTTATGTACACGTTCATGAAGACCACTGGTTACATTTCATTTGGGTGACATAAATTTGAAAGGATTTATGCCTCTAGATATAACAGTAGAAAAATCATTCAGTAGTGTCTGGAACCTGGTGATTACATTTTTAAAGGAACATTAAGTTTGGAGCTGACATTCAGATGAGAGAAGTAGAGACGGGGTGGAAAACAAACGTTCTCACACAGCAGAACAGGAGCAGTGATGTTTCATAAATTTATTTTTTGTCATACATTTCAATGATAGCAGTTTTCTGTGTGTGCTTTAAATGTTCCTCCTGCAGTGCAGGAATTCCCACCCTAACAGTGGAGATCTAGAAAGGGAAACTGTCCAGGAACACACACCGACAAGTCTGCTTTCATTTTCACATGGATTATGGAACAAGTAAGATAATGACAGCAAAGTGGATGGCATTTTTATGTTTTATTCTTGCTTTATGACTCAAGTAGTTAAAAAAGGCCAAACAAATTATTTTCCTTAAGATGTGGTCCAAATTGTCGGCTTGTGTAAATTTGTGACACTGGCTGAGAAACTGGCCCTTCATTTGAACAGAAAGCATGCTTGGCTGCTGTGCAGCTTTGATTATGCCATCCAGTTGCATAATTTTGATTTTCTTCAGAAGGGCTACCCATCACTCACCCTTTAAATGTTGCTTTAAGCATATGTTTCCAGGAACTTTTTGGCTGGGCTTTTCAAGGCCTTGTGCAGCTGAATACCTAATCCCTTTAAGCAGAAGAGGATGCCAGGTGGTTGATATATAATATTTAGAAAATATGACGTCAGCATTGCTGAGGATGGTTGTGAATGACACTGAGAAACAATACACCCTCTGACCCCCACCAAAGGTGTCCTTTAAAGACCTGTAGTGTACTACCTGCTGTCTTCTCCAAACTGCACTGGATTTCCTGTGCTAACAAAATTCTTTCTCAGCAGTGGAAGTAGTAACATAGAGGTGACAAGTCTTACTTTACATCTTCCTTTTTGCATTATTTAAGGACTGTTCAAATTAAGCCAAACAGTGACTTGTAGAATTATAGGACTCAAAAGAGTCACTCCCAGGCCATGCCCTTGGTGAGATCTGGCCATGTGGTCTCTTCTCCAGGGCTTTGTTTTCCTGCTTTTAGGCACCAGGCAGCTGGGCTCCCTTTGTGCCACCATTTAACTCCTAGATGTGCCTGTGTGGTAGGGCAAGCCAAAATTTGTATTGCATGACCAAGGCATGACACGATGTGTTGTGTTATACTGCAGGAATCCTACAAGCACTTGGGGTGCAGGTTGGGTTTTTTTATCTGTGAATTACATGGAATGATCCTATCAAAACAGCACTGTGTGCAGCTGTGTGGCTTTGGAGCCAGGATGCAGCTGATTGTTTGCTTGTTCTCAGGTTCTTCTCTTGGTTGTGAAGCAGATCTTTCCAGATTTTGAGTTCATGTGGCTGGTGGAAGAAGCTAAGAAGAATCTGCCCTTGGAGCTGGATTTCCTCAATGAAGGCAGAAATGCTGAGAGGGTTGCTCATATGCTCAAGAACTTTGACTTCCTGAAGGTGAGGAACACATTTCTGTGTATGTATGTTCATTAATAGTCTCACTTTATGCATCTTGTGCACCTTATTCACCACCTGGAGGAACCATACAGAGGAATAATGGAGTTCAGTCCCTTTGTGTTGTTTATCCTAGACGGCTATGCCAGTGCGGACCAGAAATTGCTCTGAGACATGGTTCCTCCTTGTCGGTTTCCTACTGTAGGCACCATATATTGGATGAGCAGTGGCTTGGGGCCAGCAGTCTCTGGAGCCTGCTACTTATTTTCCCATGCACTGTTTCAGAACTTGACCAAGAGACCTGTGAATTTGCCATTCTTTGCTGAGCCATCAGATGGTACCCTTTCCTGGGCATGATCTCCACTGAGGGCAAGCAATGGACATAAACCAGAAAAGCTAGACTGAAGCTGATGATGTCAAGTAGTGTTGAGGACACTGTATCTCAGGAGGAAATATGTTCACATGAATCCTTCCTCCTACAAAAAAGCACGTTCTCTGGAACTGAGCATACATCCTTCATACACATCCACAGCTAATGCATTCATGTTACCTTCATACAAACTCAACAGCACCCATACTGGGCTCTTCCCCACTGACACTCTTACCTACCTCCCCTCCTATGCATTGACTAAAGTTACCAACAAATGTTTCGGGTACAACCAGACATGTACACATCTCATTCTTGGAAAGACATAAGCTCACATCTTCAAACTTGAACGTGCACAAATCTTTTGCTGACATAGAAGTGGTACAAGCCTCCACTGTGTGCATTCTGGAAATACACCGGTATGGTCAAGCACATGTAGTGCTGTGGGCACAGTCACTGATGTAACTGCATTTGCACGTACACAGAGGCAGCAAAAAATGCACCCTCCTTTGGACCTTCCTGCATATGCACATCAAAATGAGGCTTTCATCTCCTGTTTATGCAGAAGTCCCAAGGTGGAAGTGACAGATGTCTGAAATTAAGTGAGTTTTTGTTAGACTTTACAGGCCGATGCAGCCATTTTTAACTTGCTTCCTTCATGCAAGGGCTATAATTCCTTGTCACCTGACTCCAGGTTTGAGGCTGTTCTTTTGGAGCCCAGTGGCAGCAGTGGCCTTCCCATAGACAGAGACAGCTAAAAGCCACCAGGGCTACAGAAGGCCAAAGGCCAATGATTTTGCTGAGTGGGCGCTTATCAGAAGTGATGCACCTTGGAGAGCTGTATCCGTTGCAGCTGTAACTAGGATACTGTGAAGTAAATCCCCATGGAGACAACCAATCACCTCCTTGCTGGGTTAAGGAGCTATCATGATATCAATATGTGTAGCAATAACAAATAGCTTGAGATGGCTAAATAATGGATCCTCCTGTCTGACCTGCCAATTCAGAGACGTGTTCATCACCCAAAGGCAACAGAAGAATTGGGCTCCTGTATCATTAATTTTCCTAAACATGCTGGAAAGCTCAGAAGTAGGTTTTGTGCTGTGAACCTGTTTGAGCTTTTAAAGCCAGAGATAAATTGTTTCTGTGCACTAGCATTACAGCCAAACATCTGTGAGTAATTAAAAAAATCACTGAAGAATTTGACTATGAGTGAGCGAGGCATCTCTGAGAGCATGGATAGTGCTTTACAAGCCCACTGACTTGCTCCTCTAAATCTTGAGACAAGAATGAGTGTCATCTGAAATGATCTAAGGCATCAGGGATCAGTGAGCTAGATAGGCTGGGAAACTGTTAGTTTCAGAATTGGTTTACTTCCTCACCAATCTAACTGCAATGAATGGACATCCAGATAAGCTGGGAAGGCTGCAAGTGGATTCCCTTGGCCTAATGGATCTTTGACATCAAAGTCTACACAAGGTTAACATGCAAAGTGTGCCAGGAGGGTTGAATGGTGGGTCTGAGGGACACTGGAATTGCTCAGCAAAGGAGTCTTTGATCTAAAGTGGCACACATATGGTAAGGTAGAAGTGAGTGACACTGGGGAAAAGGTCTCTCTAGGACAGGAACAGTGGGGGAGGCATATAGTTTGTAAGAGACTGAAACATTGTCAGTAGTTACAAGCAGAGCATTAAAAAAATGCTGCTTGTTCAGGAGTTAGGTGAGCTACAGTGGCCTGGCTGGTTCCCCTGCCTTTGGTCACCCTAGATGGATGACACCTCTTCCTGTGGTCCTGCTGGATGCTTGCAGTGTGTGAGTCCCGAGTCCATGGCTGAATCAGGTGGGTGAGGGGAGGGGGCTGCACAGCTGTCTCTCTCTTTACAGGATCCACAATGTGTATCTCTGTATTGGGGCACAGTAATGGGAAGGGGTGGAGATGCCTTATATCTTCGGTAAAATATACCTATGTGGTTTCATCCATGTGCAAAAGCAAATCTGGACAGTTTGGGAGATTGGTCAGGACAGTGATGTGAGGAATATCCAAAGAGAGCTTCAGCAAAAGGACTCCTAACAGTAGGGACTTCAGCATGGAAAGAATTTTGCTGGAGAGGCTGGAAAAGGGGAGCCAGCCTGAGTGATGCCTGCGTCACTGCCTCCCTGGGTGACACCGGGCCTCTTACTGGTACCTCAGCTTGATTTACTGCAGATTGAATGAAAAGTGCTTTGACATTTTACACTTGTTACTGTGTCACTTTGGCAACAAGATAGTTAAGGGTCTCCCAGGGTTTCTGTGACAAGCCCCTTATTTGTGACACTTGATTTTTCTCCCAGTTCAATTGCAGATGGCCTAAGTATGCAGGGTTTGTCAGCTCAAAGGCATTTGTGTTCCAAGGGGCACTGCAGAGATACAATTTATGACGATGGCTTATCATTTTTAGAGCTGCATAAGTGGGCCCTGTGTGTAGCAAACGAGATGCAGTTCCTGTCTAAAGGAGCTGAGTGGATGATTCAGAAACTTGCAATATGTACTAGTTAAACAGCCCAGCTAGAGAAGCTGCAGAGCAGATAAGAAAGCTCTCGGACATCAGTGGGAGTGGGAGGTGGTCAAAATCTTGTCGAGTGTGGCTAGAAATGTCTCACAAGGGCAGATCCTGCTGCCATTGAATTAGTGTGCTGTCCTTGCCCACATTGCTGCTGTTCTGGGGAGGAGGTGAGTAGATGGGTTTACCTCCCTTGTGCTCAGGAAAAAAAACAAGTCCTGATTTTAGTCTCTTCCATTTTTACTGATTTTCTGGGTTGCATGTGATGCTTTCTCCTTACTTGCCCAGCCTGTTGTTTGACCTAACTCATCTGTTCCTGTTTCAGGTCCCCAGGATCTACTGGGAGCTCTCAACAAGGCGCGTCCTTCTCATGGAGTTTATGGAAGGGGGGCAGGTGAACGACAGGGCCTACATGGAGAGGAATGGCATCAATGTCAATGAGGTAGTTTCTCAGCCATCTCTGAATCGGGTGTGGTGAGCAAAGCAAAACTGCTGACATCAACTGATGTTGATGCAAAATGAAGGCTGACAGGACAGGAGGGGACAGAAAAGGGAGTCCATACAGATGTGAACAGAGCAATCAGTCTGAGAGATCTCAGTTCTTGTGCTTCTGGAAAAAGCGCATTACCTCTTTTGGGGAACACTTGCCTGTAGGCTGCACAGCTAGAGAGATCTTCAAGAAGAAGATAGTGAAAGATGACCGTGATCTTGTATTATGTACACTCATGGTTTGTTCCTGTTATCTTAAAGTAACGACTTAAACTGCTGATTCTTTTTGTCTCTCTTCTTTCCCTCTCTTTCTTCTGCATTATTTTTCTCCTGGACAAATGTACAGGATGTAGCTTTTATATCCCAGCAGCTATCCCCTTGTGCAGAAGATATAAATCATAGGTCTTAGATGATCGCAGTTACTAGAGTGCTGGAGCCTCAGCCATGGTGCTTTGCATAATATTCTGACATTGGTTGTTTTCTTGTGCTTTCCAAAATCTCCCTCTTTCTTCTGGATGCAGTGGTTTTCTTCTTTGCTTCCTGGTCCTACATTAATGTGTAGTTTTGCAGTCCTTTATTAAACAGCTGCCAGATTTCATCCCTACAGAGAGGCTACATTTCCCCAATGAGTGAAGTAGTTTGTGTGTGTGTGTGTGGCATGAAGTTGGGAGAGCACTTTGGACTCTCTGTGGCTGACACATTCTTGAGGAAAAGGAGGTATTACTTCTCAGAGGGGCTGAGAAGATGCTGGGGAAAAGGGTTTTGAGCCATTGGACAGTGTGTCAAGCCACCCCTGCCAGTCAGTGAGTGGTGATTAAGGCACTACTGCTTGCCTTTCCCCTTGTGCCCTATTGATGAGCCTCAAAGCTGCACTTGGTTGACTGGCTATCAAAGAGCTATGGCATAAAATCAATTGTGCTTAATCTGTCCATGCACTTACCTCCGAAATCTGAATGCTTCCCCTCTCTCTGCTCTTCCTCCTCTCCCCTCCCTTTTCTATCCATGACAAAGTTCACGTGGCATCAGTTAGAGACATGCGAATAACCTCTCATGGGAGGGGAAATGTGAGTTTGGTGTGCCCCACAAGGAGAGAATGTTAACTATCTTCTCAGCTGCCTCCCTAAGTCAGCATGCAGCTTTTTCTTTGCCTGAAGAGCTTAACGAAATTACAGGAGGTTGACTGAGTAACCTGCTTGTTTCTCTTTGCCTCTTCCTCTGCTCTTGCACCTCACAGAAGTCAATGAGATATTTTCTAGTAACCTCTGCAGACAGAAAGACAGGCACCTTTTCATGTGTTTCTCCACTGAAATATAGGAAGGTCTAAGGTTAAAGTAGATTTTGAAACTATCTTTCCATTTTAACTGTGACAAACAAGCCAAGGACAATGAGTAATAACGAATGATGCTTTCTTCCCTACAAGATGTCTGGTCCATTTTCACTCGAGAGACTTCTTAAAGGAATATAACCTCACCTATAGATAGTGCAGTCTCTCCTTTCACATCTTCATCAGGAAGAATTTGGAGTATTTGATTCACTGTTTTTTCTCCTCCCTCTTATCAGGGCATCACATTGTCAGCTGATCAGAGATAGACATAATTCCTTCTCTTTGTCTCTTTTGTGCCAATGATCTTTCTTTGTATTTACCAAGGTAGGTGCCTTAGTGATATATCTGGTCTGCAGGGAGCACCATAGTGTGACTCTTGAGAACATGGACTCAATGGACTTCACTATCAAGAGAGATTTTTAAAAACCTTGTTCATGGCAGAACATGCAGACAGCTTCATTCCTGGACTAGTCAACTGGTCAAAAGTGAGAGTTCTTTGAATGAGTTTATCCTGTACTTCTGCTATAAAGGCAGAGGTCAAATGTAGCCCCCAGCGCTCAATACAGCAGTGACTATTCCTCAAGTCTTGAAATAGTCAGAAAGGCTTGTTTTGATGTATTGGCAGGAGAACTCTTGAGCAGTATGTACATTCAGATTTTGAGCTGGGCTTTCTCACTGTTCTTGGACAGTAGATGCATTCTGAGACTGAGGTAGCTAGCATGGTGTAGCTCCCTGGGACTTGGGTTGCTTCTTTGAATTTTCTCAAACTGCTGGAGATAGCAAAGTTGTCTGGAGAAGCCCAGGAAAAAACATTCTTTGCAATCTTCCATAGCTTTCTCCATCAAGTCAGAGTAGAAAATTCAGTGACTTCAGCCTTTCAGTGGGATGTTTTGCTGCCAGTATGTGCCAAAGTAGAGAAGCAGCTAATTTCAGTTTTTCTAACTTGCAGAGGCTTTTGCTTGTGATAGGAGAGATTTAGGGTGAGAATTCAGCTCACTTTTTTGTTTGTCTGTGCCTTTGGGAAGGTTGTTTTCTGATGTCCTGGCACAATAGGTTCTGTGCAGCAATGAAACCACATCTTGCTGATTCTGAACTGGTCTGTAAATGATAGCTAAGATGTAATTTAAAAAAAATTGTCAACAGACTTCCAATATTGCAAAGTATAAGCCTCAGAAGTTTCTGGCAATCTGTCAGGTATAGGATGTTGCTCAGCTCAGTGGTAGGACTGAGTTTCGGCAAACTAAGTGCCTGTGATGAGCTGTTCGTTCTTCTTTTTCTCTCTCCACACCCTGAAATTAATGATTAACTGATTGCCAATAAAAAAAGAGTAGAAAGGAGGGAATACCAAGCCTATCAGAATCATGTGATGGGGAACAAGGTCTGTTGTTATGGCCACAGTAAGATGAGGCACACCCCAGACTTCTCCTCTGGCAAGGTGCAGCAAATGGGGACAGATAGGACCAAGGTCTATTATCAGCTGCTGCTGTTGATGCCCTGGGTAAAGAATTGCATGGCATGGTGGTGAAGTGAGCAAAAGACAGCAGACACTGAAAGGACCATGAGGAGGGGTGGCAAACCAGGTTTCAAAACTATGACATGGCTTATAATATACAGCAGTTCTGGCTTTTGAGAGATGTATTAGCTCCCTATAAATCACCTCAATCTATTTATCTATCAACCCCTCTATTATCTTACTCTCTTTGTTTTATTGGGCAGAGGAAGAGCAGTCTTCACTAAGCAGGATTTCTCTCATGTGACAATGCAGCCTTGAAAAGCAAGCTGAGCCTCTCTCCTCCTAAATGGAAAGGATCCCTGAGGTGAAAGCTCCCTTCAAACCAGGTTACTGACATTTACTTAATACCGTCTGTAGCAGGATTATCATTAAAGCTGCCCAAAAGCACATTAATCTCTCTGGATCCGTGCAAGCGCTGGATTGTAATGGCATTTAATCAGAGAAGGCTTTGATTTCTAAAGACAAGTGCAAACACTGAAATATCTGCCTGTGGAAGAGTTACTTATTCATGTGCAAGTGTAGCTGAGGGTGAGCATTTAGCTAGGATATTGACAGTGGGAGGGAAGTCTGAAGAGGGGAGTTACCAAGAAATGAGCTGGCATAAATTTTTGAGGAATGACCAGGCTGTGGCAGGGTTAAGAAGGAGGTCACTTGGAAACGGGGTTGTTCCTGTTTCAAGACAAAAGAGCATTTACAGTCTTGGTTGAGAAGATATGTTTTGAAGGGTGGATAGAGCAGCTGTCAGGACCTTTGTAGCATACTGTATGCAGGAGGGAAGGAAGGATAGCAAGGCTACTTAAAGCATGGACTTTCAAAGAAGATCCTAAATGGCACAAATGCTCCTTTTGCACCCATTCTGATTTTACCTGATTCATTTAGAGAGACCTTTTCTGTATACAAATCTTAACATTATCTGTGGTCCTGCTGCATGGGTCCTCCCTGTCCCTCCTTGTGGATGCTTTGCCTGTCTCTGCAGAGGCTGCTGATCAGCAGGCTGTGGAGTTTAGAGATGCACTCGTGACATGTGCTGTATTGTCTCCAACTAACCAGCCAGCTCAGGTAGCCAAGTGGAGACTCTTCTGTGGTCACCCTGGCTTGGACTTGAGTCAGGGAAGGAAAATGATGCCATGTACTTCAGCTCACTAAGAGCCTGGTCATGAGCTGTGGATGATTCAGAAGTCAGGGAAGTGTTTTGTCCAGCTGAGCAGTGAAAGCGAACAGCTAACGTACTTAAGATGAGCTGTTGTGCACAATTATTGCTATCTGTCACCTCATCCTACTGTGGCTTTTTTCTTCCTTCTGTTACCATTCCAGTCCAGAACCCATTGAGTATCTCTTAGCTCGGTAAAGAGCACAGCTACCTTCTCATGGTTGACAGCTTTGCAACTCAAAATATCCTTTCAATGTGGGATTTACCCTTCCACCAAGAGTCAGGAGCTGCTGCCTTGTAGCTGCTAAAATTTATGTGGGATTTCCCAGGGTGGGATCCCTTTGTCAGTGCAAGTGTGGAAACCTCTCATGTCTCAAGTATTTGTGCTTATAACACTCAAGTGTTAGATGAAATGGAGCATGGAGAAGAACACTGTTTCTGGGAAAGATGGCTATTCTTGCTCTTTGCACCTGCTGATTTAGTCTGTGGAGAGGTGTTCTTGCAGGTTCTCCTACATTTCCTCTTCTGTGGAGCTTAATGAAAGTTCACAAGGTACTAGTAAGCAAGGATAGTGACCTCCAGCATTTTCAGCTTCTGAACTGTGCAAAGACACCAGGTAAAAGAGTTAAATTACACACAAACCCGTTTCTTACTGAATGTCAGTCTGAAGCATCAGCGTCAATCGCTTAAATCTCAGCAAGGTGCTTTACATTAAATCCAGGGGAACATGGCTACATTTAAAGCCAAGGGAAAATGATCTCCATGGCCATTTTGGGTCTGACAAAGATGCAAGAAACAATTAAACAAGCAACGACTGATCTTCTCTACCTATGTCCTTTTGATAATCTGTAGAAATTTACCAAATTATTCCCTTGCTTCCCTGGGTGGATGAGTCAGAATATTTCTCCCCGCTTAAATGCTGTGGAAGATGGGGCATTGAGCAGGAAAATTATTTCCTCAGTCCCA